TCTGTGTGACTTAAGTGGGAACCAGGGATAAGAACTTCAGCTGCATACCGAAGAACAATGATTATTTCAAAAAAAACCTCTGTGTGAGCAACAAGGTGAATTAGCCGCTTTCCTCAAAGGAAATTTTTTTTTAGTTGTTTTATATATTTTGCTCAAGTTTCTAGTTGATTATGGTAGGAAGGTAAATCTGGTTCCTGTTACTCCATCTTGGCCAAAAGCTGAAGTCTACAGTTACTTTCATCTGTCCCAAATTTGCCTTTCTTAAGTCTATATGGTAAATGTAATACTTGTTCCTTCCTGGCTCTGTAGACTTTGAGCAAATCTTTTTCCAGAGAGGAGTCCTGGCATGTTCAGCCTGTCCAGTAGCAGACTGTCCACAGCCTTGATTATTTTGGTCATACTGCCCTGAATGTGTGGTAACTGGAACAGAACCTCGCACTCCCAGTGTAAAGGGGGCCTCACTGACCAAGGTTACACATAAGACAGTATGACAAGCTCTAGTGTAAGAGGCAGGTGTAATGGGGTAAAATGACCACTGCAGTCAGAAGACTCAGGTTCACAGCCTGGCTCAACACTTTATACCTGTGTGACTTTGGCAAGCTCACTCAAACTCGTGAGCCCTACTTGCCCCATCAATGGATAGACATAATAGTATATCTCACACGTGGTTATGAGGAGAAAATGAAATAAGGAATAAGAAAACACTTTGTAATCTCTAAGGTACTGTACAAGATAAAATGACAGTGAAGTATATTTCCAATACTCCCAATAGTCCTCAATCTTTCTAACATTCCATCTTCCAAAACTCTAAGCTACCACAATGTATTAAAAACTCTTACATGAGTATTAACTAATAAAAAGAAACGCCTCACCTTCTAAGTACAATTTTAATTATTTTCCCTTATACTACACAGTCTGAATCATGAAATTATTTACAAATGCAGCCCAACATCATTTCAAAAACCCATCCTAAATCTAAATTACTCATTCCTTAGCTCATGTGTAAGCACTTGAAGACTACTTACATTCTTGGAATTTGGGCATTGCAGGGGTGACAGAAATACATTATTTGGGAACTATGCCACATATCAGGCTAAAACTGTAATTTTTTAAAACACTAGCAGATTCATAAATGATATATGTTACTTACTTCTGTAACGTTGTGGCAAGAAGTACAGTAATATTTGCCTTCATCAGTAAGACCCCAAGAGACAGCAGCACACTGAGTGCATCTTTCTTTAAACTCTTTCTATAGGAGAAGATAGAAAAGGTGTTACTATCAAGCCATATTCAATACATTGCACCTAAACCCTGAAGTTCTACCTAAAGGGTTCCCTGCAATTTACCTTACAGATAAAAAAAACCATAGAAAATAAAAAATGTATCAGAGAGATTAACTATAAACAAAGAGAAGAACGGTTCAGTCTTCTGAATAGTTGGAAGTGGAATTAAATGATTAAAAAAGTTTCTAAAATACGCTGTGTGTGAGGGGGAAAAAAAGAAGAAAAGGTGGTAGGGGTAAAATGGAAAAAAATGGATGAGTTAATAAAACTCCTGGAAAGTGCCCTGAGGAAAAAAGAGGACAAGATTTAAGTAAAGACTTTAAAAATAAAAATTGGGGGACGCCTGGGTGGCTCAGATGGTTAAGCATCTGCCTTAGGCTCAGGTCATGATCCCAGGACCCTGGGATCGAGCCCCACATCGGGCTCTGTGCTGGGCAGGGAGCCTGCTTCTCCCTCTCCCTCTGCCTGCCTGTCTGCCTACTTGTGATCTCTCTCTCTGTCAAATAAATAAATAAAATCTTTAAAAAAAA